TTAATGATGGGTTAATGTGTGGAAGTTACAACTTGGGGGATTTATGCTTCCGTGGAACTTCAATTGAGGACCTTTGTTTGGATTTCTCCATCCCAGGCTACCCTGAGTATATCCTGAAACCGGGCAGTGAGAATGTATGCTACGTATCTCTTTTAATCCTTATCTTAATATGTCTTCCTTTTTACTCACGTCTCTTTGTGTGTGCCTAAATTCACAGGTGGATATAAGTAATTTGGGAGATTATGTTTTCTTTGTGGTAGATGCTACTGTAGTAACTGGAATCTTGCGGCAAAAAGAAGTATTTAGATCTGGATTCAACTAGGTTTGTTCTTATGTTTGATTTTCATCTATCTTTTAATGGTGAAACTGCAAAACTAATTGATAGATAGTTTTCTGAAGTGTTATCTAATAGTCTATCCATTTTATGCTAAAGATTGTGAAGTAACTTCATTTGGTCAGTGTAACCTGATTTAGTTGGTTATTGACACTGTTGCTTCGTGTGAATTCCTTGCACATAAGACATCGTTTGTGATCCCAATTTATGATTAATTCCAAGGATTTATAATTCTCTGGTGTTTGACATTGCAAGTCTACAAATATTTTCTCCTGATGAGTTCGACTACCTGTTGTGTGGCAGCAGAGAGTTATGGAAGGTAATATTTTGTTTTGGTAGACCCCAGAAAATTAATCCTGATTTTTGAATGCTTAAGTCCCTGGTAGATCACATTAAGTTCGACCATGGATATACTTCTAAGAGTCCTGCTATACTCAATGTATGTAATGTGCTCCTGAAATACACATTGACAGATGGCGTAGAGTAAATTTAAATAAAAAAGGGAACTGTCTTTTAATTTTTACCAAAATTCATCACGAGAATTATTTTCAGCTACTTATTATATGTTTGTATACTTGCGATATAATTTATGCCTTATTTATTGTGTAATCAGCTTCTTGAGATTATTTGCGAGTTCACTCCCGAGCAACAACGTGCATTCTGTCAATTTGTGACTGGTGCCCCTCGGCTTCCACCAGGTGGTCTGGCTGTGCTCAATCCCAAGTTGACTATTGTTAGAAAGTTGTGTTTTTTGGTTGTCTCATCATAAAGATGTTGATATTCTCATCCATTTAAGTTTCGACACGTAATTCAGCTTTGTGCTAATGTGCGAACACTTCTCTTTGTAATAATTGTCTAATTGCAACAACTTTCTGCAAACACCACTAGCGCAGCAAATAATGGTACTGGCCCGTCGGAATCCGCTGATGATGATTTACCAAGTTTGATGACATGTGCCAATTATTTGAAGTTCCACCATATTCATCTAAGGTACATACTTCGGTTTGGCTGGTTTTGGAAGGGCACCATTGGAATTTTGTTGCGTATTTTTATTTTAGGAAAAAAATACAAATCTCAAGTGCCGGTTCTCAGTTCCTCAAAATGGAGAACGGAATAGGAACCGTAAGGAACCGACAATATTTTAATCAAAAAATAAATTTAAGGAAATGATATTGATGTATGTAAAATAATCAAATAAAGTTCAATTTCTTAGTTAATAAATGAAAAAGAAAAGGAACTTGGTCTTAATAATCTAAATCCTATTAATTTTTGTCATTTGTATGATATAATAATATAAAGTAGGCTACATAGAAGAATCAATATCCACATATTGTGTCTTTCAGAAATATTTTTATTCTCATTGGTCATTTGGTGGTCGTATTTAGCGTTTTCTTCTTGTAAATCGCAAATGAGATTTATGTCAGGTTTTACATTTATTTTACTCTTCGTTCTTAATTATTTTCAACTTTAGTTACCTAATAGTGAGGATAAGTTCACTATAACTAACGATCGCGTGAATCATCTGCTTCCAACATCGTACAAGACATGATTGTGCGAGTGTACTCCAAAAGGTCTGAATTGGTCTCTGCTCAACCCAACTATTAAAATCATTTAATTTCCGAGTATTACATTATAGTACGTAATTTTATTACTTTTGCAAGTTGGACTGATTTCTGATGCTTCCGAGAATTTTCAGTTGAAGGCAAATAGGATCAAAGCACAAGTACATGCGACGTCAGAGACGAAAAAACGGCGAGGAAAATAACTGCTCATCATTGATTTTACACATCAACTAAACCAGTAAGACATTGCAATTGCATTTTGTGCTGGATGTTTTGTATATAACGGGCTCTATATGGATACGTATATATGATATGTCATACGTATATTTGGCGTGCATTTGTATTACAAGCTTGCTCCCGTGACGATTTTTATCGGTTTTCAAGTGAAATATAGTTGGCTTGGTGTGTTTTATCACAAATTAAGGAGTGATTGATTGGTTTAGAGTATTCAATATTCTAATTAGTGTCTTTTCTTCTATTTTCTTGCCACAATAGTTTAAATTTGGAGGGATTGGTTTTAAATATTGAGAACTCGTTAGACTAATGAAATAGTCTCATATCGTTTTGCTTGATGATCAAAATTAATATTTATGCATAAACAAGAACATGCTTTTAGTTTTTACGCTATGCTTGCATTTAATGGATCATGAGATGAAACATTTTAGCATTGGTTTTATGAATAATAATCCTGAAAACTATAATTTGTGAGGGGGCTAGTTTAAATCATATATTTTTTATCGGTAATTCTTCCGTTAAGGCTGCCTCTGCTTAACAGTAGCATTTGAAATTAACACCGCACACTTATCGGTAAATACACTTATTTTATTTGATCACCAGATACCTTAAATAGTTTTTTCATTATCATTTGTTGATATCTTAAAGCTTACTTTTCTTCTTTTTACTTGTTTTCTGTAGTACCTGTTTATATAAATGTCATTGTTACTCAACAAGATCCATTTAAACAGGTTGATCATTTCAGTGGCTTGGGTTGCACATATTGTGATATACTTGCTTATCGACCCTCCTCTTTCTCCATTTCTTAATGAGATCTTCATCAAATTGGATGACGTGTGGGGTAACTATAAAGTTTCTATTTTTGGTGTCTACCTTTACCTTCTTATATGAGGCACACATTTGAGGGCCAACTTGTTTCTTCTCTAAGGTCTTCTGGGTACTGCTGCATTTGCATTCTTCTGCTTCTATTTGCTGCTTGCTGTCATAGCTGGGGCTATGATGCTCGGCCTGAATTTGGTTTTTATTACAATCCAGAAAGAGGGGTAATTGCCTTTTGTTGAAAGAAAAAGATGGTCCCCTTTCATATATTCCGCTACGTGCCACCATGCATCAGGTATTTAGGAAAATCTCAAAACATTCTTAATTTAGGTCGAAAAAAATGTTGTCTTAATTGATGGTTTGCTCCTATTATCAGTAATGGTTTGATTAATTAGTTTTTTTGGGTGCAGATTGTTGCAGAAGTGTCAGTGAGAGGAATATTTTTAAGCGGGGCAAAATTCGAGGATCTGTGTACGTCTAGCGGACTTGTGAACTTCACTTGCATCAGAAATAGACTGTATGTGATGATCTCAGCCATGAAACCTGTACAGTCATAAGAAGCCTCATCTCTTGTTCTATATTAAATGTGTGGTGGATCGGATAGATGATATACATTTGGATTTTTTGCCCTGTTGTATTTGTTTATTTAATACCTAATGATATCTTATATCTAAACGTTTCACATTTGGGATTTGCTTAATTTGTTATCTGCATGTTAGAGCTAAATATGGTTAATAACATTAATATATGACAACAACCTATGTGAAGCTAATGATCGCTGCATCGATGTATCTACAATGTTGTCACATTGTTTGCTTACACGGACACTGGTGGTGATAATCTGTATATGGTGAGTTGAGATTTATATATCATTAAAATTTGGAAAAAAAAAATACCATATAAATATTTATACGATTTTGTAAGGTCAGTGAGAGGAAGACATAGATCGTGGTCATCCACAAACAAGTTATTTACTAAATAATGAGGTTGACCTTTAACTCTTTCGTTCAACCTCCCTTATATAATAACAATGTGCAAGCAATTTGGAGCAATTCGACCAAATTGTGCAAGTCAGATTCACAAGAAATTTTCCAATTTTCCAACTCTCCATTTTCATTGGCCATCAAGAAGTGAAATCGATACTCACACGTGTGTTTATCTTCACACACAATGTCATGAACTCTATTTAAAAAGTTTTCATACGACAAACTCCCCAAAGGCATAAAATTCATCTTTGCGTGTCCATTTTTATAGGCATTCTCATCCCAAAATCCACTGTACACAATTCGAACTTTTTCACACATCTATAAAAAAAGATACAAAAGTATTTTAGTAACAAACAATGTCAAAATCGATTTGAGGTCGAGCATACATGTATGATTGTTGAATTTACATATTTTCCAATTGACATATTTTTGACACAACAATGTAAAAAAAAAAACATGTCTTATATATGCGTCAATGTCTTACATAATAAAACAAATAAAATTTGAACCAAAACCGACTTCTTGGATCGATTTCTGGGTCCATAAATGATTCAAAAATCGTTTTTGGGATTCAAAAAATGATTCAAAAATCGTTTTTGGGATTTTTGAGATTTCTGGGGACCAGAAATCGTTTCTTGGTCCAGAAACAATTTCTGGGATTTCTGGCATTTCTGGGACCAGAAACGATTTCTGGGGTCCAGAAACGATTTCTGCGACCAGAAATCATTTCTTGGATTTCTGGGACCGGAAATCAATTTCTGGTCCCAGAAACCGTTTTTCGGATTTTTGGGATTTCTGGACGGATTTTTGGGATTTCTGGGGTCCATAAACGATTTCTGGGTTCCATAAATGGTCCAGAAACGATTTCTGCGACCAGAAGTTATTTTTGGGATTTCTGGCATTTCTGGGGCCAGAAACGATTTCTGGGGTCCAGAAATCAATTTCCGGTCTCAGAAATTGTTTTTCGGATTTTTGGGATTTCTGGGGTCCAGAAATCGTTTCTGGGCCGGAAATCGTTTCTGGAGCCCAGAAACGATTTCTGGACCCCAGAAATTAACGATTTTTGATTTTTTTTTTTAAGAAATATAGATAGTAAGAGTATTTTGGTATTTTTAGGTGTCAAAATGGCTAAAAAAGATGTTTTTTCCACAACATGGCTAGAATTTATGTTTTACATTTCTACTTGGCTAAAAAAAAAATTCACTGTTAGATAATTGTTTCCTAAATTCTTGAAAAAAGTTATTTAGTAACTTATTGGTTTTTGAATATATTGTTCTTTACAAGAATCTAAATTACGTACAACTTGTTATACCCATGATTCTTCTTCACCTATGCATTACAACTTTTTTTCTTCTTTTTTATTGTTAGGAATATAAATACACGATTATAGTATACTTCATAAGTCAATAGTGTGGCAGTAGTGTTGGAATTATGCTAAGCAGTTTAGTCCGATTTAGCGGGGGCATTTTTTTTTCTTTTTTCACCTTCGTCTTCTTCTTTACCAATTTTTATTTATTTCACCTTTTTTTTTTCTTCACGACAATAGTGTAATTCATGCAGTGATTTAGCGGGGGCATGTTCTTTTTCTTTTCTTTCTTCTTCTTCGTCTTTTTTATCTATCATAATAATATTAATATTAATGTTCTTCTTTGTTAATGTTTTTCTTTCCTATATAATTAATTAATAAAAGAGAAGTATCCTCAACTTGGAGATCAAGAGTGGTACTTTTTCACTCCACGCGATAGAAAGTACCCAAACGGAAGTCGGCCCACGCGTTCGGTTAACGGAATAGGGTATTGGAAGACCACTGGTGCCGATAAATTAATCATGTGGAAAGGTGAACTTGTGGGAAGGAAGAAGGTTTTGGTTTTCTATCAAGGCAAACCTAAAAGTGGAAACGAAAGAAAGAGCAATTGGATCATGCATGAGTACAAGCTTAATGCTCCTTCCAAAAGCCCCGGTTCCAATAACATGAGGGTACTCATATATACTTCAATACACTTCCTTTTTTTTTTTTAAAAAAAAAAAAAAAAATCTAATTATTTTACTCTCTCTATATATATGTTACATTTGAATTATTTGTTGCAGTTGGATGATTGGGTGTTGTGCCGAATATACGAAAAGATAGAAAGGGCTCCGAAAAGAAAACCGAAAGATGTAAACGATGAGGAAGAAGAAGAAAATGAAGACAACAACAGCAATAACAACATTAACAACGAGAGTAGCAACAATATTGTTGAACTCCCCAACAACAATATCTTTTGCGAAAGCCAAGATCACATGTTGATGATGGATAAATATCAGCAGCCTTCTTCGTTTATAAATAATCCAGCACTTATTCCTAATCCCACACCCATTGATGTTAGCTGTTTTTATGGTCTGAATAGTCTTTACTATGATCCTCAGTACCACCACCTCGTCAGTCAGCCACAGTTGATGTGGAATTCTCGATGCCAGCTGCCAGATTTTGATTGGACCTTTGGAAGTAGGAATAGTAATAATAATAATAATAATAATCTACAGCCTTTTCCTTTTGATGCCGATGTCGATGATAGTTTCAGCATCGATGATTACTTGAGAGCGGCCGCGGAAGAGGGCACTTCGGATGATCAAAAATTGGGGTCTAAGAGAAAGAAAAATTAGTTTCTTCTATAGGGTGTCAATTAATATGTTATAACAGTCTTGCTAATTGTTGACTTGTTTTGCAGAGGGAAACAAAACCTAGATGTTGCATAGAGTAGGTTTGATTTTATTGTCCACGGTCAACGGCTATTCTTGTTTTGGTTTAATATTGAGTTTCTACTTTCTATCCAATTCATGTGGGTGTCTGCTCTATGATTTTAGTAGTTTTATTTTTCTTTGTCTTTTGGTATCTCGTCATTTCTGGTTGATCCAATAATCCTATTTCTACTCGGCCTATTAATTCCTTGTTGTCTTTCTCATTTATCTGGCCTTGGTCGATTCAATATAGAATATTTAGAAAACTAAATTAATTATCTTCTCGGATAAAAGAGATTGAGAAAGTCGAAAATACAGGAGAATGAATTTAATAGACTGAACATGGCAAAAATTCAATTTTGGTCCTCTAAATTGGCCATTGACCAATTTTGGTACACCAATTTCCCCACATAAAAAATAGTCCACTATGTTAAAATTTCGTCAATTGTAGTACAGTAATCTCGAGGTGCTGCATTACGTGATGATGTGGACAAGGATTGAAACGACGTGGATAAATAGGAATTTGTCATGGAAGGATTACAATTTTCCACGTCATCACGTAATCTGGCCCCTCGGGATTACTGTACTAAAATTGATGAAAATTGTAACATAGTGAACTATTTTTTATGACGGGAAAGTTGGTGTACCAAAACTGGACAATGGCCAACTTAGAGGACCACAATTAGATTTTTGCCGACTGAACATTGATGTATGCGGTTAAAAATAAAAATCCTCCTGTCGGACTCTTCGGCCACGGTTCCCGGCAAACGGCTGGATCTCCTCTCCTTCTTTATGAAGGTTTTCACCCGCGAAACCCGGCAATTGGCTGGGATTTTGTTCTTTTGAGGATGTATGTGTTGGGTTCGCTATACTGTACGGGGTAAAACGCAGCAGAAATTAAACAAATAAAACGAGCATTTATGAGATAAATACGAAACCCTTCGACTCACGTAGGGTTGTAACGATCGGCACCTTTTAAAATTACGTAAAAGTACGAATTTTGATTTGTAAGGTCTTAAAAAATTACCTAATTTTTTTCGTATAGCGACGATGAAGAGGGAATCAGTTGCTGAGTATGTAGCTATCACCGTCTTCGTTCGTCTCGTCGTAGGGATCCACGCGTCTCCCCTGTAATTTATAGAGTGTAAGTGCATTATGCTATTTAGATGGTACTTTTCCTATTAATTAAACAGTGCCCCCAATTAGTAATTATCTTGGATACGCCATTGCAATTATTTTTCTCATTAAACTTCCGTTAATTTTTTTTTAAATTCCAATGAGAGTTTTTCTAATAGTTGAAATATGGTCAGGAAAAAATTCCAACGAAAATTTACACAACAAGAAATTATAGTAATTGGAATCATTAAATCCATTAAAACTTTAATTTAATTTAATTTAATCTTTATTAGAATAGCCGATAAAATTTTCAAATGGAAGTTATATCAACGATATATTCATTAGAATTCTTAGTAGAACATTACTCTTGGATTTTGCATTTCAATATGGCATTTTGTATTCCATCTTCAATATTAAAATTCTTTTGTAGTAGTTTTTGTTATTAATTAATTCTGTTTACATTTTTTCTATTAAAAATATATTAAGCACGTGAACATTTTAGTCCATTTGTTTAGAAATCGTTCATTATTTATCTCGAGATTACCTATTAATTTCTCTATTGAGTTACATTCATTACATGTTAAATATGATATAATTAAAATAATTATTATTGTATATATGCAATATGATATTTATAAATTATATTAAAAAAAACTAGTAGCAAATAAAAAGATATGAAAAATTACAATAATCATTTTTCTTTTTAATTTTGAAATATTGTCTATCACTTAAAACTTGCACATAGAATTAATAAACACAAAAAATAATAAATCTTTTAACGACTCAACTTGTTTACATCGATAAGTACAAGTTTTAAAAGTTTTATATTTATCTTTATTAATTTTAAAATTTTTTATTTATTCCTTCTTTTTCATATTTATTAGTAATTGTTTAATTATGATTTTAATATTATTTATCTGTTTTAATTTTTTTTACTTTACATTGTTCTTTCATATTTTATTAATATATATGTATATAACTTTAATATTTGTTAAAAAAGTACATAAAATTAAGTATAGAACTTTTTGGGCCATATGCCTTATTACATATCACATAATTTTATATCTTCATATTATAATATATATATATATATATATATATATATATATATATAA